GGGACTGTTATGAGGCTTATGTAGGTCATGCGGCTAGAGCCTGGCAGGTTCGCACATAGTAGATACTCCATACACTCTTTTTTCTTTTTCTTTTTCATTTTCTTTTTCTTTTTCTTTTTTAAGCTCAAGGGTGGTAGTCTACCTGGGTCTCAAGTCTGGCTTTTGAAAACCTTAGGGGTTGAGGACAGGAAGCGGTGGTCCTTTCTGTGCCGACTTGGCCCTCACCTCAGCCTCTGAGGAGCAAGCGGGGATTCTGGGAAATCGATAAGGCCATGGGGTAGAATCCAGAAGAGTGTGGTCAGCCGGAGGCGATGGACGGTACAAGTACGGGGAGCAAAGGAGAGCCTGGCTTGGGGGGTAAGTGACAGCATGTCTGTCCCCAGCAGCGGTGCCTCGTCCCACCCACGGCCCTTGGGAGCCGGCCGACCTGGCTCAGGTTATTTCAGCGCATCACCCACCGGCATTTTCTTTTCTTTCTTTTCTCTTTTTAATGTTTATTTATTTTTGAGAGAGAGAGAGAGAGAGACAGAGCGTGAGCAGGGGAGGGACAGAGGGAGAGGGAGACACAGAATCCGAAGCAGGCTCCAGGCTCCGAACTGTCAGCACAGAGCCTGACACGGGGCTCGAACCCACGAACCGTGAGATCATGACCTGAGCCGAAGTCACGCACTTAACCGACTGAGTCACCCAGGCTCCCCCATCCACCGGCATTTTCCTTGGGTGTTTGCTGGGGGCTGGCAGTGCCCAAGGGGATGGTCAATAGGCTCGGGGAGCTGACAGCCCCAGGGCCCACAGTTTGTAATTCCCATGGGCTCTTCCCTTCCCTGCCTAGTTGGGCCTCTAGGAGGCAGAGGAACAAAAGCTAGGGGTCTGGACCTTCCCCATCTGGGGATTAGCTTGAAGGCTTTTGCCAGGTTTCAGGGTCAGGCACCTTCTGTTGGCATCAGGGAAGGGAGGAAGTGTGTGTGTGTGTGTGTGTGTGTGTGTGTGTGTGTGGTCTGTCTGTCTGTCTGTCTCTATGGGTAGACAAGCAGGGCTGGATGTGGGTAGAAGTGGGACGGGTGAAATTCTGCCAGCCCCACCTTGGTGACCCAGCATGCCAGTAGCACACAGACTCTGGGCACCAGAGTCAGCCCGCCTTCAGCCCTTACTGAGGTCGGGGGTGTGGAGCATGTCTCAGGAAGAGCTAAAAGTGGCAGAAAACATCCTGTTTGAAAGCAGCGAGTTGCTGTATTTAACCCCTGCAGCGCTCGCTCCGCCTACACCGTCTGCACAGACGAGGATCTCGAACACCTGTCTGTGAAGCCGTCCCAAGAGGCCAGGCCCTGTGCCGCAATCCCAGCCTGCACCCTTCCCAGCGCGCCTGAGGGGTCTCGGCAGTCCTAGCTGGGGTGGGATCTCTTTCCTGCCATCAGCAGTATGCTAGGCCATCCTCTGACTCTGCTCCCCCCTCCGGGAGGATCCTTCAGATCTGGGGTGGGTGGGGGGTCCATGGGAGCAGCAGGAGCAGCAGAGCTCCCCTAGATAAAAGCCCTCCCTCCCTCTCAACACCCTCTGCAGTGGAAGAAATAGGGAGGCTCTTTCCATCTGCCTACATGCTGGTTGCTGCACCCCCCCCATCCCTCCTCACTGCTTCTTGCTACTCCCGGCCTCGAGGGAGGGCTGGTCCTGGCTGCTGCCAGGCTCCACCCCCTCACCCCTGCCAGCGATGACATGGCACGCCTGTGCCCAACAAATCACTCTGTCAAGTTTTCAATCCCTAATCTCAGGACTAAAGTCTCTTGAGAGAACCTCCCGTACCATTTATTGGACTCGCCAGAGGACTGGCTATGAGGTCAGTGCCAAGCTGTAGACGAAGCGTTTCCCCTTTTTCGTTTCAGAGTCCTTTTGGTTGGACGTGTCTGTGAGGTCACAGACGGGCATCCCCTCCCCCTTGCCCCTTCAAGTGGGTGTTTCCTCTTTAGCCACAACCTCTGTGGCTGGCTGTTTTCCAGGAGCAGGTGCGGGCCATGGGAAGGAGGGGGGACAAGGGAAGGAAGAGGATACTACCCCGGGCTTCACAAATGCGGGTCGGATCCTGTGTCAGCAGAACCGGCAGCAGCCCGCAGCCCAGACCCAGAGCCAGCCGGAGGCAGGGGAGGGGCTCAGAGAGGGGCTCAGAAGGGAGAAGGCCTGCTGCCTCTCAGGACAGGACACCAGGCAGCTGTCCAGTATAGTGACATTTCCTACTCAGCTCCAGTCTGCTCTTTGCCTCTCCTGCCTCCACAGTCTCTTCCTGCCAGCTCTCTGGCCATGTATGCCTGGGTCTCTTTTGCACCTCTGGACTCCGGTCCCGGGCCCTGCCTCCTCGGTGGCAGCAAATAACCCCAAGCCGGCTGAGTTTTCTCTCAGCTCACCTGAAATGGTCCCGTTTTCTGTGGGCTTCCAGCTGAGGGGTCCAGCCTTCTGTCCGGCTGCACTGGGGCCCCAGGCCCCCCAACCCCTGGCCAGGAGCCTTCCTGATGTCAAGGTAGTAGCTCAGCCCATTTCAGGAAGGCACAGTTGTCATGCCGGGGTAGGCTGTTGTCCTGATGCCCTTGCATCATGACGTCACCAGCGAGCCCGGGTGGTGATGAGCCCTCGTTGGACTGATTTGTCTGGCATTCCCCCCACGCCCACATTTGATTTCTCCTTTTTCCACCAAAGCCACCAGATGTTTAGTCGCCTGGGTGACACAGACCCTGTAGCAACGTCATGATGACTGAGAGTTGCACCATCTCAGCTGACCTGGGGTTAAGCCACAAGCATCCTAAACAGTTTCTCCTATTGCCCCACAATGGTATTGGGCCTCTGGGATCCCTGCCCACAACTTGGATGTGTGCGGCACTCTAGAAGCCCCGGGGAGTTGGCTTGGCCTTGGGATGGGCTACAGGGACGATGTTGACAAACCCACGGGTGCTTTATCCTTGCTTTTTAATTCTTTGAAAATTGCGAAATGTTTTATATATGCAGATGGGCCTATTAAACGTAAAATCCTATTTTAATAATTTTTGTAGTTTATTTATTTTGAGAGTGACAGAGAGAGCAAGCAAGGGAGGGGCAGAGAGAGAGAGGGAGAGAATCCCAAGCCGGCTCTGCATGGTCAGCATGGAGCCTGAATGAGGGCTTGAACTCATGAACCGTGAGATCATTACCTGAGCTGAAATCAAGTGTCAGACACTTAACCAAATGAACCACCCAGGAACCCCATTCATAACAATAAAAATAATAAGACGCCTATACCTACCACTCAAAGAAATAGGATATAGTGCCTATGTAAGGCCTCTGCATGCCTGTCCCCGATCTCAGTCCCTCAAAGGTTTCTATTAATCATTCCTTTGTTCTTTTTTTTTTTTTAGAGTCTTTATTTCTGTGCATGTGCGTGTATGTGTGTGTGTGTGTGTGTGTGTGTGTGTGTGTGTCTAAACATTGCAGTTTAACAAATGTCAATCTAGCTATGATGGGGACAGGCAATAGTGTCACTATAAGTACATCAAAGTTCCCAGGAAAAGAAAAGCTGAGAGAGACGGGATCTACACCCATCTGTGATCAGGGTCCCCTCCACCCTGATCCTTATCCATCCCACTTCCTTCCTTCGTTTTTAGAAAATTAAAAAAAAAAACAAAACCTTAAGTATTAAAAAAAAAAACTTAAGTAAGATTTGGGCTTCTCTGGGCCTCATTTGTAAAGGGTGACATTAAAGCACTTGCCTCCCGTTGGGTGATTTGAAGAGCAAATGTACCCCATTTGCTCAAACGGGCTTTGAAATGCCAAGTCGTAGCCCCGAGATTCCATTGGAAAGAAGCTCAGAAACTCCCAAGGGTCCTCCGGAAGCTACCTCTCTCACTTCGGGGTAGGAGAACATGGTACTGGTTCCTAACTGGCTTTCTCTCTTCTATTTCTTCTGCCCCGAGGGACCCTCCTGCCCTGGGGCCAAGCGGCCATGCGATGGCCCTTGTGATGACTCAGGTAGTCTCAGACTCAGATAGACTCAGATAGGAGGCAGCAAGTTCTGAAGCATCTTAGGGAGGCCGGAGGAGCTCTGAGTCTGACCGCGTGGAGCCAAGGGCCCCATCTGCCTAATGGAAGAGTTAAGTCAACCGCTTCCCGAGAAGGATTTCCGAAAGCTACTAGGTTGTGTTCCCTCGGTCCTCCCCGCTCCTCAAGTGTGAAATCCATCTGTAGATGATAATGCCTATTTATCAAAGCCATCTCTGAAAACAAGATTAGTTCACTGTATATGACTTGCGGTATTCGGAAAGACGATTCGGTCAAATCAATGTGTTACGTTTTTGCTGGAGAAAAAGAAAAGAGAAAAGAAGAGGGAACAAGATTTTGATTACCTCGGCGCAGGGACACGGGGCTGTCAGTTCCGAGCCACGTGGCTGTGCGGAGCGGGGGTTGGAATATCAAGGTCTGATTCGGGCATGTGAGCTAGTCCGTTCCCCAGACAGAGGGGCTGGGGGCTTCTATCTGCACTTGAGGGGGGGAGGGGCCCCATTTTCTCTTGGGGGGGTTGTTCTGGGTGAAGCACCCAGAATAGGCCTCTGGCCTGCTTCAGGGCTGCTCGTGAGGTGAGTCGATGCCTCACAGCCTGTAAAGGAAAACGCCACTCTTCGGGTGAGGGTCGCAGGGTACAGAGAGGCTAAACACCTCACCCACAGCAGCCTGGCTAGTAGGCCGCAGATGCAGCCTTTGAACGCAAACCACGCTCTGAGCGGCCTCACCACAGCGCCCCCCGCAGATCGCTCTGGACTTGGGTGAGGGAGCCCATCTTCCGCTCCACAGAGAGTCCGGAGGGTAAGCTGTGGTGTGGCGCGTCACGAGACGAGGGCGCCAAAGAAATCCTGCTCAGGCCTGCAGCCTGGGGAGCTGCCCTACCTCGCTGAGTTCCTGGCAGATGGGGGTAGGGGTGCAAAGGATGCCAGCCAGCCCTGGCACTGACTCCGGCTCTGGCCTTGGCCTGCCTGCTCTTCTTGCAGGGACGGAAGCGATGGCAGCCAGCACTTCCCTGCCTGACCCTGGCGACTTTGACCGGAATGTGCCCCGAATCTGTGGGGTATGCGGAGACCGAGCCACCGGCTTTCACTTCAACGCTATGACCTGTGAAGGCTGCAAAGGCTTCTTCAGGTGAGTCCTCCCCAGGGGCCAGCGGAAGGAGAGGAAGCAAGATTTCCCTGCATGAAGAGAACCCCTGCATCTTCCCTGTCTCTGTCCTTCCCATGCCCATGGAACATGCGAGCTCTTACAGCCACCGGGAGTAACAGGGTCTGGGTGAGAGTATCTTCTTCCTCCCCTCCTTTCGGCTCCAGCTACGTCCTCTGACCTTCTCAGAAATGGTTTTCCTGAGGTTTCCGTCTAGGTCCCCACTTTCCCATTACCCCTTGACCCATAGTCCCCTCTATTAACCCACATGTCTGTCCTGGAGTGACAGGGCCTCCTAACAGATGGATGACCACAGGCGTGCCCTTGGGGGCGTCCTAGAACTTGGCCTCAGAGCTTGTCCTCCCATCCACATGAAACCATTCCTTGGAACAAGGGAAATAGCACCCTGGTTGGACCTCTGTGCTTGATCTGTGCCCATATCTTCACCCATGGCTGGCTGTCCCAGGATGGAAAGCTCAGGCGATGTCAGCAACGTGCCAGCCGTCCTGTTCAGTCAGGGCCAGTTTCTCTACCCGCTGCCTCTTCTCTTCTCCAGCGAGCCCAGTGTCACAAGTGCAAACAGTATGGGGAAGGTATTGGAAAGGCGGAATGAAGGGTGTTCCCATCCAAAGGGAGGAGGGAAGGATGGGAAGGTGATGAATTGCAGTATAGGACTGAGAAACATGAGGAATGAGCATTGGGCATATATTGGAGAGAGAGCAAGCAGGAGAGAAGCCTGGAAGAAAACATGAAAAGAAGAGCTTCTGTATAAGAGTCTTAATTGGAGGTGAGTAAAGAAAAGGACAAGGCTTTGGCCATCAAGAGAGGAAAGAGTGAATCAGGTCCAGAACAAGAAGGCAGAGGTCGGCCTGGTTGTCTGAACTGAAGGGCCCACCCACTGGCTTTGAGGGCAGAGTGAATCAGAGCCTGGGACATTGTGAGATGCCTGCCCTGCCCCCCCCCCCCCCCCCCCCCCCTACCGAGCACAAGGACTCGTGGGCCGTCTGTGAACACAGCTCCCAACTCACCTGCCCCCTGTCCTGGGAACCAGCTGGCCTGGAGTTTCCCTGCCTTGAGCAGTCGCTGGTCAGCGGCGTTTCTGTGGGTGCTAATTGACTGTTTGGCCTGGCGCGGGTTGCCCACTTGGCTTCCTGGCAGGCTGCTCCCCAGCTTGGGGAACCAGACCAGCAGCATCGCTGGCTGCAGACTCTGCTGCCGTGTGGCTCATTCCTCTGCACTTCCTGCAGGGTGGGCCTTCCAGAGCCCCACCTGGACCCTTTCCTGCCACGGCCTCCGAAGTAATAATGGGGAAGGAGGGTGTGTGCGCACATCAGGGCTGCTTCCTACCATAAAAGCAGCCAGAAGTGTGTGAGCTATAGCAGTGGCTGTGCCGTTGCCCTCTCTTGCTCAGATCTTTTGACTTCTCTGTTTCAGTTACCTCAACCATGCACCTGACTTTGTCATCTGACTCCTCTCGTATATAGTGTTAGTCTGGGGATTGATTCGATGACATATACAAAAGTACTTTAAAAAACATAAAGTATGATATGTTATTTTGGAACCTGATGGGTCAATACTTATGTCCTTCATGGAACGCTGCCCTCATGAAATAAACAGACGTCTCTCCAGCCACACACCTTCCTTTTGTTTTTTTTTTTCTTTGACACACTCACTCAATGGATTTTAATGAGCATCTGTTATCAAGGCACTGGGCTAAGAGCTGGCAATATGGGGACTCTGACCAAAGGTCATACGTCACCCATCTGCAACCCAAAGGTCTCCAACAGCTCTTGGGGCTGTTTGGTTAATTCCTAGATCCCTGTCCCCAACCCCCTCTCTTTCTAGGTCACCTATCCCTGGGGTTCAGCTCTGGGAGATGAGACTCTTAGGTGGCTGCTTATTGGGTTCTGACATACTGGAGGTCAATTCCTTGCCAGAGTGGCTCCAACTCCCATGCACCTGTGCTTCCTCCCCTCAGACACACAACTACTCCTTGAGGCAGGACCATGATAGGTAGGCATCTGGGTGGAGGGAGGACAGGCTCCCTGATGCCCAGGGCTAGGTGTGGGAAATGACAAAATGGACAGGGATGGTACATTTGTATGTCACCCACCCCGAGCCCCCTTTCCAACAACCCCTGCGTGGAAGTGCTGGTATTATAGGCAGCATTCTGCTTTTGTCCTGTTACCCTGTCCTTGTCTGCCTTGTGTCTTTACTGTCCCTGCCGTGATGACTGGGCCAGGATGCACTTTCTGAAGAGCCAACACCTCTTGTTGTTTGTCTTGATTTTGTTTGATAAAAATACACACCCACCCACCCACCCACCCCCCACCTACCCACCACACACACACACACACACACACACACAATCAGTCAATCTTCGTTATTTGTAGATTCTGTGTTTGCAAACTTGGCCACTTGTTAAAACTTCCTTGTAGTCCCCACATCAATACTTGCAGAATTTTGTGGTCATGGTGGTGTCAGAGTGGTGAAAACTTCAAGACCCACGACGCACACATTCCCAGCCAAGGTGGAACAAGGTGACATCCTGCCTTCTTGTTTCAGCTCTCAGGCTACAAACAAGTGTCCTTTTTGTGGGCTGCTTAGTACCACAGTTTTTGCATTTTTGTGCTATTTGGTGGTGATTCCACTGTTTAGGATGGCCCCAAGCATAGTGCTGAAGTGCCATTAAGTGGTCCTAACTAAGCACAAGAAAGCTTCGATGTGCCTTATCAAGAAAACAAGTGTTCAAGAAGCTTCATTCAGACATGAGCTACAGTGCTGTTGGCTGAGTTCAGTTTTAATGAATCAACAATATATATTAAGTAAGGTCCCTTTAAATAGCACATGTGAAACAAGGTTATGTATTGATTGGTTGATGAAAATGTTGTGACCAGAGGCTCCCAGGAAGCTAACCCTGGGAACAGTGGTTCAGTATGTGTTAATTAAGTGCTCATGGTGCCCTCACAGAACATAACTGTTGCCAAAAAGAAAAATCAATTAAATATACATAATTGCTCCTCTTTTCTCCCCCTTACCCTTGCTTCTCCTTTACTTCATCCAAATTCTATTTGGTATTTTTCTATTTTTAGTCTATTTCAGATAGAACCCCCTTGCCACTTATGTCTGTTTGTGAAATCCTGATCCCAGGAAGAAAGGTCTACGTTTGGGGGGGGGGGGTACCTTCTCTGTGTCAGGTTCCACATCCTTAGGAACACAAAGATAAGTGCAACCAAGTCCTTGCTCTTGGGGAGTTCACTCAACCCGTTCATGGTGTTCTCAAGGAAAGAGGATCCCTTTCGTGCTGAGTCACTGGCTATTTACCAAGCCCTGGGGACCAGTCTGACCATTCAGTCTTTGGTTTGACTTCCAAGATAGTCAAACTAACCTACCATAGGAGCTCATTGTGGTCATCCCAGCAGGTCCAGAATTCATAATCAAACCAAAATGGGATTATGAAGGTTGGACAGTGACCACAGTTCTATTGATCTATGGTCAGACCATAGAGACCATTAGAGACCACTGTTGGCCAATTTGTCCTACAAGTTATTTCATGCTGTTTCTGCTTCATGTTCCTCTGGAATACATGGACTTCCTGGGGGGGGAAATGATATTTCCAGTGTGAATAAAATGGCATGGGTAGGCTTGTAAAAGGTTATATGTCTTGGCTCTGTCAACAGCCAGAGCATAAGTAAGGGCCAGAGGGGAAAAATACGTAGGTCTACTACAAAGGATATATATATATATATATATATATTATACGATCTGTGGATGTGAATGAATCTCTGGTCGTGAGTGGCTTAGTTCAGACTCTAATATAAAATAAAGGAAAAGATATAAAGGACAGAAGAAAATCCGAGGGACCTCTTTGAAGAAGAGAATTAAGAGTATGGTGAAGTTTAAGAGGTGGTCCTGGGGGGTGCCTGGGTGACTCAGTCAGTTAAGCCTCCGACTCTTGATTTCGGCTCAGGTCATGAGCTGGCAGCAGTGAAATCGAGCCCCATGTCAGGTTTTGTGCTGGGTGGGGAGCCTGCTTGAGATTCTGTCTCTCTGCCCCTCCCTTGCTTATGCTCACTTTCTCTTTCTCTGTCTCAAAATACAATAAAATAAAATAAGGGGGAAAAAGAATACAGATAAAAAAGGTGGGATAAGAAAGGTGGTCTTGGAATGCAGGGTTGAGAAACAGATCACTGCCTCTTCCTCTTGTCTTCTTCCTCCTTGTTGACGCCTCCTTAATCCAGACACTGTGAAGGCGTGCATTGCAAGTGCCAAGCTAACAAACACAGAGTGGAGAAATGCCTTCTTGTTTGCGGGCCTCAAGGTGCTCAGGGACCTTGTTAATTATGAGTCCTGTGGAGTGCAGGGGGCAAAAGGCAGGCTGGTGAGGATCCGGGAACACGAGGAATGTTCTGGCTTTCGGGAAGTCCCCCCAGCTGATACTGCAAGAGCCGTGATGTGAAGGGGAGCAGAGAAACGAGGCGGATGGCCAACGACTTGAAACTCAAAGGGCTTACGGGCACTGGAGTAAACAGAGAGGAGAGAGGAGCAGGGCGTTCTATGAGCGCCAGTAAATGTGTCCCCACGACATCGGGGCTGCCGGAGAAAACTTTGTCCAGTTCAGCTTGGCAGCTGGCAGCTTCTTCCATGGCCGCTCGAGACTGTGACTGAAAGAGAACGAGGAAGGTTGTCCGCGGATGGGTCAAGAGTAGTTTTGGAAGCTTGGGTAGAGGAGGCCGGATTATTTGCAGAGGGAATGTCACTGGAGTTGTGAAGAAAGGCAGCTGCAGGCATGTGAAGAAGATCTTACGTTTTGGGGGGGAACTCAGCTCTCTCATCAAGGCTCGTTGGCAGGAAGTCACTCTCGGCACACGCGGGGGTCGTCCCTGTGCTATGGCAGTATAGGGCCAGTGGAGAGGACCGCCAGTGGTGACCTCTCATTTCCAAACCACCCCTCTCAGGGACTGTGTCTCTCCCAATGGCTTTGTGCCAGAGGAGACCCCCAAACGGCCTCTGCTGCATGTTCCTGGACTTTAGGGGGCACTTTTTTTTTTTTTTTTAACGTTTATTTATGTTTGAGACAGAGAGAGACAGAGCATGAACAGGGGAGGGGCAGAGAGAGAGGGAGACACAGAATCTGAAACAGGCTCCAGGCTCTGAGCGGTCAGCACAGAGCCCGACGCGGGGCTCGAACTCACGGACCGTGAGATCATGACCTGAGCCGGAGTCGGACGCTTAACTGACCGAGCCACCCAGGCGCCCCTAGGGGGCATGTTTTGATGGCTACTCTGGCTTGGATTGAGGTACGGTATATTCATAAGGAGGACGATGTTATGTAAGAATACTGGAAGCTTTGGAATCAAACAGATCTTGATTCGGATCCTGCTTTCACACTTATTAGCCGCGTGATGTGAAGCAAGTGATTTAACCCTCCAGTCCTTTTCATATCACCTGTAAAATAGGGATAATGCCCATCCTGAAAGGTCGTCGTTGATAGCCTTGGAGATAATATGCAAAATACTGGCATCGAAGGCTCTCGGGAAGCGGAGGCTATTACCATCGTCCTTTTGTAGTGTGTTGCCTCT